CTGGTTTCTTTATTCCGAGCTTTTCGTTACCACGTCCATTGCAGCTGGACTTGTACCAGTCCTGGTATCATTCATCAAGAACGGTGTTCACGATCTGATGATTACACTGGCAGTGAACCTTCCACTCGCCAGCAATTACTACTTGTCCTATATGCTCATCCAAGCTTTTATGACGGTAGGCTACACCTTCGCTCGCCCTGTACAGTATCTCAAATACATTATGCGAGCGAAGAAAGATTCGTCACCACGCGATCAAATAAGATGGCAGCGAGAAATGTTGTCTCAGATTAAATGGGGAGAACTATATCCTCTATATACCTGCATTGCCGCTATTGGTAAGTTCTCCGATTTTACTAAGCTTGGCTCTCACAAGCAGCAGGTATAGTCTATTCTTTGCTGAATCCACTGATTCTCGTTACAGCGGGGCTGAATTTCGCCATTTCAGGACCGTGTTACCTCTACGTGTTCCATCATCTGTCGGACCTTGTTTTCGATTCAGATGGGGTCTTCTATTTCCGAGCTTTATTTCACTTGCTGACTGGATGCTATACTATGCAGATCACAATGATGGGGCTCTTCGTGCTCAAAACAAAATACTCAAACATCGCTCATGACGCTTGCCAGCTGGCAGTCATGTTGGGCACGTTGTTCTTCACCTGGCAGACATCTTCCTACCTAAGAGCACGTTACGAAGACAAGCTTCAAAAGAGTGCTGTTTCGTGGAAACTTGCCATGATTGCAGTACGTGATGAAGCAGACAATGAAGAATGTGGAGAGGAGGGTGTACTGCAAGTACTCATACCTAAGACGCGTGACGGAAACAGCCGGGTAGTTGTTGACAAGGCTCGAACTTATCTACGTGCTGCGGCAGATCGCATAGCTGTGCGCGAGCAGCGGGCTGATATCGATACCGAGTGATATATCGATGCCTGCCATGTTAGTGCCAGACTTGGTCGGGACTGAGGTGAGGCCACAGAGAATTTGAGATGGACTGAGTCACTTTAGCACTGGGAGCCACCGAGATTGGGACCAAGGACAATGATTAGCAGCAGGGAAGGTTCAGTTTCGTGATTGTGAACAGCGACGACGACATCGATAGGACATCAGGCTTTAACCATCACCTCCTTGTTGCTAGATGAGGTGTAAGAGGTAACCGGCCGATTACTGCCTACGTCTCGTAGGTACATCAATTAGAAGTCTGTGGGCGACATGTTTTCGAGTGATAGAGGAGAGTTTTTTCCTGTTGTTATATGCATAACTAACTATCAAGTCGAACAATTCACTACGTACATACTTCTATTCTGTCTCCTCGTTCTGCAGAGAAGATAGTGCACTTGCAACCTGTTCGTCAAGGACCTGCAGAGTTGTTCGGAACCTTTTGAATGCCATCTCCGCATCACCTAGACGAGTGTCATGCTCCCTACATTTACGCTGACGCTGTCGCAGCTCCACAGTTCTGTGCTGCAGGGTAGATTGCAGCTGATATATAGTTCTTTCGTGTTGACCGGCCACGTCTCGGGCGCGCTGCAACTCGTGTGTCTGCTGCTCAAGCTGTGAAAGAGCATTACTCAGTTCACCTTTTTCTGTCGGTCGAGCAAATACCTGCTTCACTTAGAAAACGTGACGATACAAGATTAGGTTACCTACGTTGCAGTCGGCGCGTAGAGTTGCTCGAAATGTCTTACCCACCTCTCGACATAGTTCCCGGCATGCTCCTAGATTGTGCTTACTGATATGTTTATGGAACAGGTAGTATCTTTGGGGTTCATATTGCCATTCATAAGCATCATCGTCACGGGGGATGAGACGCACGTTGGCTGGAGTGACACAGATGCCAGTGGCTTGTTCTGTTGTGCGGTTAGACAGTGGTTCAGAGAATCTGCAGTATTCAATTTCACCGATATGTGCTGCTAGGACTTGCCTCGCTTTCTCTCGCCATCGAGCCCTCTCCACATTTGAGGCTCTAGGTTCTTGTGACATCACACGACACGTATATCGTTAAGTTCTTTCATGTAATCGAAAGGAGTTTCATGCTACGACATGGTCTTTGACCTTTTAGCAGCACCTCGGTCATCCGTGGTATCTTTACGCTTCCGTGTTTTGACGCAACATTCATCTGTGCTCAATGACCACGTTGATGTGTGGTCGCCAAACCACGCTTTCTGAAGGTCGATAACTCGTCTGGTGGAGGTTGGCAAACCGCAGATGCTATGACGTAGACCCTCTTCGAAGCGTAGCACAATGTCCATGGTATCCTCTAAACGTTTGACATCGAATTGTACTGGAAATCTTAGTGATCCACACTGTGCACAGCATTGTTCGGTAGACAGCTCTATTGCTGGGCAACCATCCACTGCGATCGATGGATTGTTGTACTGTCGACAGATGGCTGTCAACACAGGACGTACGTCGTCGAAGCGAGACCGAACGACTCCATAACAGGTGTAAGAACCGCTCCCGAACTTTGGCAAAGCTGTGATCTCGAAGAAGAAGCTGAGAGCCCAGAGCTTGTTCCGTAGCGGAATGTAATCAATTTTACTGTTACGTGCTAGATCATGTAACAATGGTAATTGCTTTGTATCGTCAAGTGCCGGCTCTTCCGATTCGAATTCAATATTCAATCTGACAAAGGCTTCTCGACTGTCGTTGTCTAGTCGATTGAGAAGTGCGAGCCAGCTGTTCTGGCCGTGCAAACACGGCGAAGCAAGAAATGCACTTAGTATGCGTGGCATGAAGCCGTCCAGCCAGAAGCCACGTCGCTGCAACAACTCATGTGTTGGCGCTTTCGCGAACCCCGTGCCCACAGATAACACAAGGTTCGGCTGAGGATTTTCTGGCCATATCATAGCAAGCTCCCAGAGTCCAGCTTCGGTGGGATTATTCGCACGCATTCCTCCATCTTGCAATCCACCAAAGCCTGGCAACGACTTCGGAGTAAAATAGCTAACATAAAAGATCAGTTCACAATCAAGCATTTAGGTGGCACTTACCCTGGCGCGGCAGTGGTGCAACGGGCCCTGGATAACTTTAGCACCTTGACTATCTGCAGATGAGTTGAAAACTTACACTTCCCAGAGTTTAGGCTCTAGCTCGCTCTCCTCATGTCGCAAAATCTTATAGTCTGAGACTATATCAGCATGTGGCAGCGTTATGGGAGATAGTCAACGTACTTTCATGATTTAAGGGGCGTTTTATACCGTTATAACTTGTGAATATGCGCAGCTGCGAGGTTCCCACTGTAGTCGCCATGATGCCTAATTTAGTATGTGAGAGAGCCCGGATGCCACCATCGCACAATGTGTTCCGAGTTCCAAAAACTTCTTTTACCACACCCTCCAACTCGGTAGAGTCGTAT